TAGAAACTGTTTCTTCCAAAAATATACAGAGCCAATAGTTGCTGTTTCTTTGAAACATAACAGTTTTTTCCACAAAATACATTTGACTTCCACTTACAGCAAACTGCAATAGACCTAATTTTTGGTGTTTGAGTAGATTTGAGTAGAATGCCTTTTTGCCCTGTAGGACGTGGTAGGATTTACACGGTTAACGCATTTTTCTCCGGTTAAATTCGTACCGTAGTTCCACAACTCGTAACAGTCAATAGGTAGATACTTAGGTATGGAAGAGCATCTATAAAACATATGATAATACTTTGTTGTCATTTTTGAAAAGACGGGATGCACTCGGCTCTGCTGGCGTGCAGAATCTAATTTATTTGTGCTTCGGCGCCCTAAATTTGGTGCGTTGGATGCCAATGTTTGTGACTGCTACCGTGCGTTTCGAGAAGCCCTCTAGCGGACCTTCGCTATCGATTGCCCACCATGACGCAATTCCCACAGTTCTCTTGTCGCGAGAGTAACCTTTAAATGCCAAGCACTTCTGTTTCTTTTTCTTTTCTTTTTTAAGTCTTAACCATGCGTGGTAAGTTGTTGAATGTTTAGGTTATTGTTATGGAGGCGGAGTCCATGACGGCTATTGGGCTTCCAAGCGGATCGAGAAGCCTGTTTTCTGCGTTGTGAAACAAACTCATCAAACGATTTCCATCTTCTTCTACAATGCACGGATGCATCGATGGTTCGATCGGTCACTTGAATCAATCCACTCGTTACTGCAGAATGTATCTCGATCCATCTCGGTCAGGCCGGTATCCAAACCGGTAACAACTGCTGGGAACTCTACTGCTTGGAGCACGGCATTTCCCCTGACGGTGAAATGCCAGCCAACGATGCCGGCGGCCCTACCGATGACTCTTWCAACACCTTCTTCAGCGAAACTTCGTCTGGAAAGCACGTCCCCCGTGCTGTCTTTGTGGATTTGGAACCCACTGTGTGCGACGAAGTCCGCACCGGAGCTTACTCCAAGCTTTACCATCCCGAACAGATCATCTCTGGAAAGGAAGATGCCGCCAATAACTACGCCCGTGGACACTACACCGCCGGAAAGGAGGTCGTCGACCAAGTCTTGGATCGCATCCGAAAGCTTGCTGATACCTGTACCGGACTCCAAGGTTTCCTTGTCTTCCACGCCACTGGAGGAGGTACCGGATCCGGTCTCGGTTCCCTCTTGTTGGAACGTCTTTCGGTTGATTACGGCCGCAAGTCCAAGCTTTCCTTCGCTGTGTCTCCCAGTCCTCAAGTCTCGACTGCTGTTGTAGAACCTTACAACTCTGTGCTTTCCACCCACGCCCTTTTGGAACACACCGATGTAACATTCTGCCTCGATAACGAAGCCTTGTACGATGTCTGCAAGCGTCAACTCGGAATCCAGAAGCCTACCTACACCAACTTGAATCGTTTGATCGCCCAGGTCATCAGTTCTCTCACTGCCTCCCTTCGTTTCGATGGTGCCTTGAACGTTGATGTCACTGAGTTCCAGACCAACTTGGTTCCTTACCCTCGTATCCACTTTATGTTGACCTCGTACGCTCCTGTCATCAGTGCCGAWAAGGCCTTCCACGAGTCTCTATCGGTTGCCGAAATCACCAGCACCGTCTTCGAGCCTACCAACATGATGACCAAGTGCGATCCTCGTCACGGAAAATACATGGCATGCTGCCTCATGTACCGTGGAGATGTCGTCCCTAAGGACGTCAACGCTGCCGTTGCTTCCATCAAGACCAAGCGTACCGTCCAGTTCGTCGACTGGTGTCCTACCGGTTTCAAATGTGGTATCAACTACGAACCTCCCAAGAACGTCCCYGGAGGTGACTTGGCTGAAGTCAAGCGTGCCGTATGTATGGTTGCCAACACCACCGCCATTGCCGAAGCCCTTTCCCGCATTGACCACAAGTTCGATCTCATGTACGCCAAGCGTGCCTTTGTCCACTGGTACGTTGGAGAAGGTATGGAAGAAGGAGARTTCTCCGAAGCCCGTGAGGATCTTGCCGCCTTGGAGAAGGATTACGAAGAGGTCGGAGCCGAAACTGAWGSTGGTGAGGGCTACACCGAAGACGAGTACTAAATGGACAACTCTTCGTTCTGTTGTCCAATTAGTTCAAGGTTTGAGCGTCTATGTCKTGCTTTGTGATTTTTATCATTTCAGAATCTTTCTGTAGACGATAAAAATGTAACGAYCTAGTTTAAACATTTACTGTTTTCGCAATATTTCTTCCAACCTAGTGACATATTTTTACGCTTGATGTTTTTAAAATTGCAATTGATCTAAATTGTCAGATGATGTGSAAATGTCAYTCAGCCGCTAGAATAGATTTCACTTCTGTTTTATCGACGTGCCTCSTTAACTTTTCGGTGTTTACGGTATTGTTGCGAACGAGGCCTCGATCTCAGACATCCCGTCTYGTATGTATTGTTTGTTGAATAGAAAGCTACCTGCGACCAGTATGTCTGCATCGGTGGTTAATTTTGCGGTGTCTTGGTTGATTCCGCCGTCYACCATGATCTGAAAGCAACGCTGGTCGTTTGTTTCCCCACGATTATCGCGAAATCGACGAAGGATTTCAATCTTCTTGATTGCGCTGTCTTGGAATCGCTGGCCACCAAAGCCGGGCTAACACAGTTTCATATTGTCACCCATGTATCGAGGAAGCCAAACAATTATTTGAGTTTCGCAGAAACGATGMAAAGCGAACTGAAGGTCAGAATATGCAGTGAATCTATAAATATATTGATGAACACAAACAACAGAATCCATARAAAATACAAAAATGCCACCGAGTTCAAAGCAAACTAACCTCAACTGCAAGAACATCTACGACATCAATCAGCCCCGACTCCAAGAGAGGAAAWATGTCCTCTACCGGTGTCGAAGGATTKATGGAAATTCCGCAATCCATGCCCGACTCAGCAACCTGGCGGGCGATTTCCAGAGCGGCCTCAGSATCTTTTGCAGCCTCCCACATGAAGATGAAGGTATTCCCCCCGGCTTCTTTCATTGCCGAAATATACCTTGCGGGGCGATCTACGCAAATATGGAGATCCAATACGGTATCGTTGTTGGAGCATCGTCTCATCGCTTCTACCATTTGTGGACCGAATGTCAGGGCATGCGGCGAGTCGATGAATACTCCGTCAAAAATATCTACATGTAGCCTGTTGGCTCCCGCGTTCAAGCARCGCTGTATTTCACCTCGAATGTCGGACCAGTCAGAAGCGAGAAGGGAAGGAGATATTGTTGGGACCTTGGGTATGCGAGCATCAGTTCYCTCCGAGGGGACTGAAACGTGGCCTCCTCTGCTAAAAGCTGCGATAGAATGAGCTACGGGTCTCGTTGCACTCCCAACCTTGCTGTAAACACTTTTGTATAACTTATCGTATGCTTTCGAAGCTGCTTCGGAAGGCACGACTCGTTTCGCTTTCCGCACCATGCAATCGATCGCCTCATCGACGTTTGCATGAACACCTGCGTTCACGCTCGCCAGAATGGCACATCCCAACAGCGGTGCATCCGCGAATTCGCAGACCACCACAGGTTTTCCAGTAACGTCTGCGTGCATCTGAAGCCACAAATCACTTCGAGTGGCACCGCCGGCAATCACAATCTCGTTACAGCCGTGGCCTGCCTTTTCTATTCCTTCYAAACAAGCCCGCGTTCCAAAGCAGACGGATTCCATCAAGGCTCGCCATATRTGGGCTCGGGTATGAGACAGAGTGAGTCCMAGCAAAGCACCTCGCTGGAGCGGATCGGTCACGGGAGTTCGGCTTCCSTGGAAGGTTTCCAATGCCACGAGGCCTTCACAGCCAGGTGGGATCTCGGCAGCGTCTTGATCGAGCTCTTTGTACTCTCGATCGCTTTCACCAAGAATGTTTCGGGCCCATCGAATAATGCTCCCGGTCGACGACTGGCCTCCTTCCGCAAAACACGTTCCTGGGAGTGGGGCACCTTTGTATGCTCCCCAGGTTCCAGGGGCAGTGGAAGATGTAGAAGAAACCACACAATGCAAATGAGAAGATCCCGTGATGAGACACAATTGTCCTGGCTTTGTGCATCCCAAACCTACCATTCCAACGAAGGCATCGGGGCCACCTTCAAATGTAGTTGCAACAGAACGAGAAAATCAGAAATACATAAACTCAGTATTTGAAAGACTRTCGGAACAAATGCCAAGCACGAATAACACACAGAAATTGCGCAGAACTTTACCTTGCGCCACTGGAGTGCCTTCCGGTAGATTCAAATGTTGAGCGGCTTCCTTGGTCAATCTGCCGACAGATCCTCCCATGGGGATACATTTCAATGGAAGTTTGTTTGCCAGTTCTGGAATCCCTAGTTTTTCATAGAGAGAAATCGGTTTGCCTGGATACTTATTTTCCTGTGTTGCAGCCTTTAGGCACTCCTCTCCATCCCAGTGCCAACGAGTAGCGGCATTGCAGGAACTCGCACACATTTCTCCGGTCAGTTTGAAATTGATGAAGTCTTGATATTCGCAAATCGTTTTTGCATTTTCCCACACACTGGGTTCGTTTTGTCGGATCCAGAGGGCTTTGGGTGTCATCCATTCGGCGGATATCGGACCCTCCCCCCCACAGTTGACCAGAAGTGCGGGGTCGCCTCTGCACTCTGCCATGATTTGTTCCGTTTGCGAGGCGGATCGTGCATCCATCCACAACAGGCACTTTCGAAGCGGCTCGTCGTTTTTGTCCAAAGCAACGACAGAACAGCAAGTTGTGTCGACACAGATGCAACTAATTTCGTATTCATCAGCATTGCTATCGTCTTCTTTCAATGAGGTAATGGCAGATCTAACCGATTTCCCTAGGCACTCGTACCAATCGTTTGGATCTTGCTCGGCCCATCCAGGGTTTGGATGGAAGGTCTGGTACGGAGACGCACAAGATTTTCCTACGACCCGTCCGGTTTCGGCGTCAAAGCAACACGCCCTAATGGATTCCGTTCCTCCGTCGACGCCAACAACGAGCCGCCTTCGCGCTTTCGCGGACGACGACGATGAAGTATCGGATATCGCAACCGTTCTTCTCGTCGCCGTGATTACAAGAAACCATATGCAGGTCAAAATACTTGCAGTCGATCGCGAAGTCTGAAGCGTCTTTTTAAAAGAAATTGCGCCCATTGTATCTCGTTGGGTTCCGGYAATTGAAAATCGGCAATCACATCACTTGCGGCAGCGAGTTTGGATCGACGACGATCCCATTCGCAACGAATTGGAAGTACGAGTTGTTCGAGTACCAGGTACGGTACCGTACGGTACGGTACTGTATTTCTGAAGGTTTCAAGTTTTGATCCTTCAACAAGCAAGAAAAATGGAATAGATGTTTTGAATGTTTAGTTTCTCGTACCCTCCACGACGTCACTGAGTACACGACTGACCATCAACGACGCACAAATCGGCATTTTAGACACGCAATTCTGTTTCCGTCACACAACATCATCACCACTCGTATTTGGATGAGAATGGCACGATTTCTACCACGAGGTATCCAAGAAACCCGTACGAGTACTGTTCACGGGGACATGCATTTACGACGGCATTTGTCATCATTCAACTGGGAAGCGACATAGTACGAGTACCCATACCGGAGCATCGCCCTTTTTGCAACTYATATTTTCAGACCGATTCAACTTTAACCCTTCTGCTCAGGACTCTCTGYGTCTTTTCTTTTGACAAATAATACGACAACACGTAGTAGCATCACAGAACAAATACCATGGGCCAGCCTTTTTCTCTTCTGTCGACGACRAAAACATTCTATTCGGGCTTGCTCTACTACCTGTGCGGTGGAGGGCGTCATTCTCCCTACAAATTGAACAATGAATCGACCATTTCGAGCTTGATGATTAAGCCCACGGATTCCAAAGAAACATCCCTATTTAAACAGCACGCAAGAATCCATCTTTACAGCTTGTCTTCGGTTTGGTTTCTTTATAACAAACCGCACTACCGAAAGGGTTCCTACCGCGACGATTTGGTCGACAACCTGCGTAATGTTGCTATTCCCGGTACTGGAATCCCTCTGTCGATCGTTGCCCGTAGCAGGTATCTGGGCTTGATGTTCCTAATGACTGCCTACCCAGCAGTGAGCTATGTTTCTGCAATCCACAAATGGTTGAAATCTGGGTTTAAATCTAGTATCAGTGAAGAGTACGCCACGAGATTGCTTGCTCCGGATGATTGGTTTTCTTATTGGCGTCTGAATTGCAACGTTGTTGGCATGCATTCGCTTCTGAACGATGTTCCGAAAGGATACGAGATGGAAAACAAATGGACATTCCTCGACGAAGGATCCAAGCTTGGAGTTCCGGTCTCGCCCTACTTGAAGACATCGGGCATCGTGGTCAAGCATCGCAACGAGGAAGGTGGAATGGGAATTCATTTCTACAAGAATGCTACCGCTGGCGGCGACTGGATTATCCAGGAGACCATCTCAAACAGTGATTGGGTCAACACGATGCTGCCTCCGAAAGCGCCAYTGTCTACCTTCCGGGTTATTACACAGAGCAAGGCGTCGATAGATTTGGAGAAAAAACCAGTGTCAGAAGATATCACCGCGCTGAGTTGCGTCTTCCGCGCGGGCCGCGAGGGTGCYGCCACTGATCACGATTCCATTCTGTTCGACGTGGACGTCGAAACCGGTAAGATCAAGGGYGGTACAACCAATGCCCACTGGTATCGTTTAGGCCTGCTCGAAGCGCTTCCTGGACGCTGCCCTTGGAGATCWTCCGATACCGAACGCCACCAAACGCATCCCGATGGGGGCATTCCTGTTTCAGGAAACAGTGTACCTGATATTAAAGGTATGCTGGCTTTGGTGGAACAAAGCCACATGAAAATGTGTCCAGATGTACCACTTGCCGGGTGGGACGTTGTATTCAGTGCAGACTCGAAKGTTCCGATTTGTTTGTTGGAAGTGAATCTCTCTTGCAACTTCTTCCGGGGTTCATTCGATAAAAAGGTCAGTCTTTTATTACTCGGAGCAGGGGCCGTTCACAAACAGAATCATTTTTTGGAAATCATATCCTTTTTAAAGATCCATCAYAGAACAAATTGCATTCTCACTCTGATTTTCTCTCGSACGTTTTACTTTCAGGTTTATCTTGATTTTGTGGACGAATCTTTTGCAAAAGTACAGGATCTGCGATTGGCGGCAGATGCCGAAAACAAAAAGTTCAAGGTACAAAAGTAGAACAAGAGTTGAAGGGTAACAATTAATTCCCTATAMTAATAATATTACACGTTCGAAAGGATATGTATGACGTTACAATGTCAAATTTACACCTACTCTTCCATACAAACGTCTTCTTCATCGCCTTCTTCTTCATCGTCYTCTAGCATTTCTGCTAGCTTCGCTTGCAACGCTATTGAGTCGGCAGTTACTTCGGGCAATTTTTCCTCTAGCTGTTGCAGAACGTACTCGCACTGACTGTTCAGAGTTTCACAAGACTCTTGAAGTGCCTGGAGAGCAGTTGTTGGTTGATGCGTTTGTACCCTAATGTGAACTATCGGCTCGGATGGATGGGGAACAGAGTACCCTGCGAACTCAACCTTTGAGTTTTGTATCAGAATCTGTGAAGAAATCAGTACAATCGGGAAGGATTAGATCAATTCGAGTACTCGATGCGTCGTGGAATCATAGATTTCCTCACAGATTAAACGTACATGTCTAAGRGCATTTCCCAGCGTGTGGTCTTCATTTCCGATTGCAAACGTTCGATTCGATTCAGGTCCTGTCCCTTTCACCTGGAATTTCTTCGAATCGTCAACGCGCTTTACTCTTACTTCATTTACACTCATGACACACAATTATTCAACTTCAARCTCTGATAAAATATTGCCGAATTTGCACCCGCGTCCCCAAATGCAGGAATAACCCGAAGATCTCTGATCGACAAGTCTTGTGATTKACGCAGAACAAACTTCTGTTGTGATTGTAATTGTAATTATTGAAGCGAWTTCATCGTTTCATCGACTGAGGATGAAAAAATCCTTGTACCCGATGATCGAACCAGTTATTGTGATGTGATGATGCCTGTGCATCGCGCGTTTTCGTTTCAGTACTTTTTCGTTGGTTGTCGCGCGGTAAATAWGAGCGTACATATGGACAGACCTTTGTTTCTGTTTGCAGTGATCGGGAAGCCTACACACTCTTGAAAGGGACTGACGAAAATTCAGTCCAGGATTCCAACGAACACAATTTTGAGTTACGAAGATGATTTTATCAGTGGAAGGCGATACTGTACTACAAACAAGTGAACAATTCCCATTTGTGTGTCACTGTTGATTCATCGAATTATCTCTTGTCATGRCTGGATGATTTGGCTTTTGGCAAGAAAAATACAAAATCTAAGATCCACAAGTTGTTTTTGATAGGATGGCGCTGATCCAAAAAGTGCACATYATTAGCTATTTATTTGAAATTCTCTTTCCTCAGGACGATGCATTGCAATTTCATGATAACGGGATTTTATACGTGTTTWAGGAATGGTATGACCATTGGGACTGTTGTGCCATCTAAAGACACGAGAATCTTGGTGAAGTTGCTTCTTTGCTGAAACTTGGACGTGGTCGAACAGCCCCGTGCGTCAATATGTACCTCGAGTGCAATGGATTCAAATAGTCTCAGCGAGCATAAATCGWCATGAAAAACATTGCTTGGCGATTGAACTTTAGGTCGAATGGTTCCATCCATGTTCCGTACAATTTTCTTGAACCGGTCGTCCCAGCCGATCTCGTTGAATTCCCCTCCCCTCCGTCTCGTTGAAACGTCGACCCCAATCGATTGTGACTTCAAGACAATTGGTTGCCTAGCCATGCCAATATTTTGAACTACTATTCGAAGTTCGACAACTGGCCTACTTTGGTAGGTCCCCCCTCCCGATACCCCTGATTTTGGATCACGCTTAACGCTCCGAAGGGTTTCCCCATTGCTTCTTTCTACGAGAAACGCCCACCCACTGATCTTTCCTGGTATCTTCCCACTTCCCAGGAAGGTCAGCCCTTCTTGGGAGAAGTGAGGCATCACGTTAGATGCATTCATCTTCATATACAAACTTTTCTTTGACATCTTGTGTTCCTCATCATCCAAATCTTCGCTCCATTGTCTGACGTTCGAAAATCCAAACCGATTGACAGCCAAATCCAACCAATGGTCATGAGCTTGGAACACTTGCATCCCTCTCCAATGTTTGGATACACAAACGCAGTTACAAAGCGACACCGGATCCAACATTTTTGCAACATGGCCGTATATAATTTTGTCTTTTTCGGCTGAGTTCTTTGTCTCCTGGAAGTCAATGCGTGGACGCTTGATGGGGMTCTGGTGATTCTGTTCTACACCGACGTGTACATCCTGTCGTTTATGCTTCTGGTTTGGGATGGGCATTTGGATTCCATCTGTGCTAGGACTTGAATCCTCGAAGTTTGCAGTGTTGGTTGGCACCGAATCGATGTTTGAACTGTTTGGACTGACCGATACTTCAGACGGATTTTTGAAATCTACATTCTTGCTGGTGCACCTGTTTCCATTTTGTGCCGCATCTAGAAAGCTTTGCATTGCTCCTAGTTCCGCCATGAGGGCCTCGCATTGCGCATTTAGCGATTGAATTACAGATGCAGCCGTTCCGACAAAACTTGGTCGATCCCATTTCTTCGCGTTCTCTGCGAGCTTGATGCCTTCCTCATTCACTTGAATCGATTTTTGCCGAAATTCGGTGACGGTTATTTCATTTTCTAGTTGTTCGATTCGGGACCTCGATTGCGAACCAGCTAAACTCACCGCGATCGACAATCTTTCAATGGATTCGTTTAGCTTCACCCTGGCGTCCTTGGCTTTCTGCTTTTTTCGCTCATAGGCCGAACAAGCGTTGTTTACAATCGGCATGGTTGGATGCCTACAATTTGGAACGGCCGGAGGAGGAAGCCTCGGAATGGGATTTTGTGCCTTGGTGATAGAGGATGCTGTTGCAGAAGGGGCTTTCTTCATTGCTGCGATCTGTTTGGGTTTGCGRCCATTAATTGGTTTTGAAGCGGAGCGAATGGTTGGGGGTGCCGGAACCGAGGGGACGGTGTGATTGCCGCCAAAACCGTACTGAGACTTTCGGTTTGTTGCTGCGAGTACCGATGCTCTTCGAACAGTGTGTGCTGCGGCATGGGGAGGTGGATTGGCATTTGAACGCTGACGCTGTAAATGTCCATTRGGAAGAGTCCGGAGATCCCCCCCAGTTTTCAAAGTCGATCTATTTTGTATTGGTGTTCCTTTTGTTGTCGACTGGCCGTTAGACTTTGTAATGGGCTGGTTTGTTCTCTTCGGCAGTCCAGCTGTGGGAGAGAAGGAATTGATTCCTGAAATATTATTTACTGCTGGCGCTGCGGACTTCGTCGGCGTCGGTTCTATCACTCGTTCGACTTCGGTTGCGTTTGTTTCTGTTGGTGCCGTGACATTTGAGCCGGCAACAATCGCAGCGGCAGTGGCTATCGCTTGTGCMATTCCGTCGACTCTCTCGCCAGCGGTGTTGTTGTTGTCGAGAGGCGAGGTAATTTCTTTTCCCTGCGGCGAAGAGGCTCTTTCYGGGATCGGCAACTGATGATGTCTGCCATAAGGATAGTAACTGGATGTATGAGGATGACTGGGTGATACCAGTTCTGGTACTCCTGCTGGTGCCAACACCGGAACGGATGATTCCGGAGTCGGCGACGAGGTTGTCACGGGTCKTTGTGCTKCCTGCGGTGGAACCTGTTGAAAGTGCGTCTGTGGTCGTTGACGCTGCTGGTCTTTTTCTTCCACTTGCATTCTTGCTATTTCTGACCACGGCGTCGGATCGACAGATACCACTGCGAGTTCTTCAATCTCTCTCCGAAAGTCCGAGTCTTCCAACGCCAGGTTCGCCTTGTATTGTTGACTCAGACTTTTTCGGTACTTGGATTCATAATTCAGAAAATGTTCGGCAAGGGAATTCTCGTTTTCTCTCGCGACTGGGACCGAGGTTTCCGACGATCGTTTGACAGCGCTAYTGGAGTTGGATCGGTCCACTGCGTGATTGTAATTCGGTATCCTGGCGTTGTCCTGAACGTGCATATGCACAGCATTGATCGGGTTCGACTCGTTCCGGATATGGGATTTTTTTCGACCGGCAGAGACGAATTCACTCTCTTCTCTCATCAGTCCGTCATMGTTCCCCCAGTCCAACGATTCTAGAAAAGCCGCGGGGGTTGTCTGCGATGGTGTTGCCGTAGTTCCGTGGACGCCGACAACACCGTGAGAGTACCCGATCGGCCTTTCTTCATCTTGCGGATCAAACCAGGCAGGATCAAGATCGTCCAGCGCATTGGCGTCGCCGTCCATTATCTGCATCTTTTCCAAAGGAGGCAAGCGACGGGCRGTCTTCAAGCTTTTGCTTTKWTCGAACGGGATCTGATAGATTGGTCCCTCGGCTCAAAAGAACTCCTGTATCGAAAAGATTAATTTCTGTGTCGTTATCTTTTTGAGGTAGTTCCTTGCACTACGTTCCCCATCACTCTCTTCGTTACGCAAGCAATTCGAAGGTTTTCCGGTTTCTTTAAAGGTACCAAACACACTAATTGATTCTTCTTTTGTCTGTCGCCTGTTGTTTCAATACAATGATTCCAGATGCCGTTACTGTAGAAAGCGGCTACACTTCTTTTCAGTTCGACTCCGGGCTCGGAAGGTTTGTAGGTACCTGTAACCTACCGTGTGATTCTGCACGGTTGCTTGTACTGTTTTTCCTCTTATCTTTTGGGGTTGCTGCCGGAAAAATGCTGGTTTCGAAGAAGTGTCAAAAGTGCGCGTTTTTTGTGCACGTTCATTGTTTTGGGGACGTGGATGGAATGGTGAGGGTTCGATGTGCGTCCATTTTTGATGTTTTCTATGTGGATGACGGCACAGACACACCCGATCGAAAAAACTACCGCTCTGTAGCTCTAGTCACGTTCTTCGTTGTCGTACTAGTAATACAGTAGCGTAGGGATACTGGATAGAACGGTCCCATACGGTAGTACATACATTACGTACTCGAAGAACGGGAAATTGGAAAGGAAAAAAAAATGGCCTGTTTGGATTTGGATCTTCGTGACAAAGCGAAGAATCCTCGAGTCCTCGTCATCATTCAACCGACTATTTGCACGTGACAATTGCACGTGACAACACAACTATTGCCGAAACGATGCCATCAGGACTTTCGAAGAAAATTCGCGAAGATATCTGTCCAGGATCACAATGTCATGGTGGAATGTGGTGTAGTAGTAGTAGTAGTAGCTACTACTGTAAGACGATTGGCTGGAGCTTTACTTCCGCAACATAGACCAATATTAAAGGAACTATTACTAGTACTACTTGTACAACAGTATCATTGCCCATTGGTTCTTCTCGTTGGATCTGCTCTATGGAATCAACAACRGTAATACAGGCGGTAGAAGAATGCAGTTAGCACATAGCCATCAGTTGACTTAATTGTGACTACTAGTAAAGATAGGTCAACTTCACAGTAAGAGATGKGGGTATGGATTGGTTCTAAGACTGGTAGTGTCAGTCAAGTAATTTATCTTCTTCTAGTGGGAAGACTTGCAGTACAATATTTTTCTCTAAGCATTCTATCAGCTTTTGAACGTAAGAAGATCTTAACCTTTAGTTATGTTGAGTGTGCAAATGTTTTTCGTGCTCCGCATTCAATTTTGTTTTCGAAATCATGTCATACACCATTTTTTGTAGGCTCCGCGGACAAACATAATATTTCTTTGAAAAGCGCGATTCTCAGATCAAGAAGTCGTCACAAACATTCGACTGTTAATGGCGCGACTGCGACTACTGCCTAAAGTTTTGTGGAACTCGGAGAAAATGCTTCCGGTGGCGGGGAACTCGGTCCTTTCGGAACCACTACGGCRTCGTCGTCRTCAATCGTAAAAGAAGCGGGGTTATTGTCGCTCTCTTCTGGTTGGTTTTCCACAAGCTCAAGTTCGGCCAGAGCAGCCGAATCGAAACTCTTGGAGCTCGCGTTGGGGAGCTGGAAACCCAGAACAATGATCCACAGTGGTATCAACACCAGGCGGGTGAGGGAAGCATACAAGACGACGAAAATCCAGGCAACTCTGTGACCCTTGGCCCCGATGATTTCTGAGGCAAAATTAATGACGCCAATTAACCCGATGAATAGTCCTAGGGAATTCCATTTCGCTCCAAATGTGGTTTCATCTTGTCTCCTCCACCTGAGGACGCTAATAAAGCTCAGCGTAAAGATGCCGGCGAGGCAAAACCATTCGACGGCATTGACAAGCCACACCAAGCCCTTGTAAACGAGATAGTTCATTTCGAGAGCCCTCCATCCGATTCCGTCCTCTCCGTCGACCCGGTACTGTAAATCCTGGATCTCAGGATTCCAGTTCTCGAGGTTGAAATTCATCGCCAGCATCATGAACGAGAGATACATTCCGTTCCAAAAGACGTTGGAGAACCACTTCGTCCAGGTTCCAGCAAGCACAAAAATCATAATTGCGGAGTTCACGCCGATCGAACGGGTTCCATTATGCGACAAGGTCCAAGCCATTTCAATCACGGGGATGCAAAAGACGATCCAAAAGATTCCATTGATGATACCGGCTGCAAATTCGAGTCCTCGGATGCCCTCTCTCTCTACCCATTCGTTCATAATATTATCGGGCAGAAGCTGGAGGTAGACGGCCTTGCTGGCCGACCCCCAAAATCCAGCTTTTTGAACCCCGATAACGATTTCAAGGGCATTTGTTGTCCAAAATAGGGCGGCTGCAAGAAGACATAGAATCGTGCTAAGAGCCCACATACTGATCCTACTCTCTCTTTGTTTTATGCTGATCAAAGATTTTTTGTTTCCTATATTGATGGTACTAGGTTCGAAGTATATTGTTGTCGGGTTCYTATCAGACGTTACCCGTTTCGTGGAAGCCAGGGAGACTAGTAGAGAAATTAGGATGCAAATTAGTGTGGATAAGGCATCGAACCGTACGGTATGGAATGACCGGGATTCGAGATGCTGTAGGATAAAGTACGGTACGGATGGTAGAATGGGTTGGTGCAGATGTAGGGTTCCGAAAAGGTTTTAAACCCTACCAGTACCTGGTACCGTACGGTAGTGGATGGAGTTACGAGATAGACAAGACTCGCGGTACGATACTTGTGCGGAGGTACTCGTATGTACCACACGATGCCATGCGATGCGGAACAAAATGAGGATTGGGCATGCCGCATGTCCACCGCATGCGACTAGATTTTGTTTCAGGTGCGCGCTTTCCCCCCAACGGCTGCGATTTACWGTAGTTCCGTACGTACGAATGTAGATTTAGGAGTGTCACGAGTTGAAGACTACATGTTTTTACGCGCAATTTTCCCCTTCCCAATCCAAGGGAGAGTTCGCATAATGACTAAGTACCGTACGGTACAGTAACGTGCTACAGAAAGACGAAGTAACCTGAAGTAATGAAGATGTTGCAATTCGAAATAGAAAATTCGTACAGTACCTCTTACTAGGAATAGGATTAYAAGTACGAGTCGTACTCATACGTACTCGCAACACCAAAATTGAAAGACGGGATCCATGACGAATAACATGAAGAATATCCAAAACCGGGGGCAAGATTGGAATGAACCCTCCTGGGAGGAATRATGAACTACAATCAATATCGCTTTGAAGATCAATTCCTGCAAGTAACCAGCTATCAGGAATTTGGGAATTAGTATGTAACCATGGCTTCATCACATAAACATGATGTGATTTATAACAAAATAGAAAGTAGTAGTAGCAGCAGCTACTGTGACGTAGTCTTCACTAGTAGCTATTAGCAKTAGTCCTAGAAATTCACAAATAATATGCTATACTACTTTGGTAGTTCGTAGTAGATAAATCTATCATAGATACTTATCGTCTATGAAATAMCATCAGTTATAACTTCACGATTTGGATAAGCTACATTGCATAGTGTTGTGATTGATTGTCTTTTCCCCAGTAGTATCATGAGCATGCGCTATTGCAACATTGCTTTTACCGAGAAACCCGTTATCATTCGCGATCCTTCGAAATCAACGTGTCCCTTTCAATCTAAACCAATCCAACCTTCCAAGGCAACCGCAAAYCGTCGCCGCCTTGACCCAGATTATCGTAAAATGTAAAATCTACTCCTCGGCCGCGGCCGCCGATTCCGTGAGGGGGTCTTGTTCTTCCCTCATGTGGGCTTGCTGATTCAGTTTGAGACTGGCGTACGGAAGTCTCGCTCCCAACAGAATCAACCAGGTCGGGATRAGGATCAAGCGATTTACTGCCGAATACCAAAATGCAATCTTGGCAAAGCTTCTAAAGCCATCCAGGCGAAGGACCTCGGCGGTGAACTCGAGCATGCACATGAGGGCAACAAACAAGCCGAGGGCGTTCCAGCAGGCTCCAAAGGTGGTGACATCGACGTTGCGACGCCATCTCTTGACKCTGATGTGGATGAGGACCATGACGAAGGAGAGAAGGAGCCATTCGATGGCACCAATGGCGCTGATGAATCCATAGGTGACAATGTGTGTCATTTCAAGGGCTCTCCATCCGATCTCGTCCTCGCTGGTGGGGGTGATCCARTTGTTGAGATTGAACTCCTTGGCCATCAGTTCCGATGTCATAGAAGAACCGATGTACAAGACATGGCTCATCCATTCCGTCAGGGAACCCGTCAGGGTCAATACGCCAATTGCGATGTGGAGACCAACCCATTTCGTGCCTCCCTGGCTCAGAATCCACGAAAGATGAATGATTGGGAACATCAAAAAGAACCAGGCGATGACGTTCATAACTCCTGCGGAAAGGTAGAGGGGACGGTTCAAGACACGGAATCCCCACTCCACCTGAATGTAGCCCGGGTCGAGATCGATATACTGGTAGTAATTGAAGTGCGACCGCTGGTACTCCTTCACGTAGTAGGTGATYGTCAAAGCGTTCCCGATGACGAAAAACACGGCGGCGAGCAAGCTCGCAAAGCTCATTTTACACATGGTGAGAGATGTGATTGATATACGTCTATCTAGTTTGATTTCGGGGTTGTATTCAAAATGCAGCAGCAAGAAAAGTCACTGCTMTGGAATTCAATCGTTTAGTCTGCGGAGTTCCGGTTTGAATGTGACAGGGGGCGCGAATGACCTAGACCGTTGTGTTGCTTATTTTTGCCATGAATTTCACTCGTACTCGTACGAGTATCCAGTACCCGTACTCTCGTATGCAAAGATTTAGATAGATTCCGCGCAGCTTTTTAGTGGTTGTTTTTCGTTTCGAATGGTTTTGTTCGGTGGGAGGCAGAGATTTCAGTCATAGTAGTGAGTGAAATGGATCATACTCTTTGTACTGATTAATAATAGCCTCACACTGTACGAGGCCATTCATTGCTTGTTAGAAGTACGGTAAACGGTACGTACAGTACAGTACGTACTCGTTCCTGGTATGTGGAAGGTGGGAGGGACTGTACCGTACGGTACTGTAAGGTATTCCTTATTTACTACTACTTCGTCGTATGTACGTACCGTAGCAAAGATACTACCGGTATGAGGATTGAGGATGTTTTTGACCGTCGAGCCGTCTCCAAAAGGATCGTACCGGTATTGCATGGCAATTACAAAACTAATCACGAACTAGATTTTGAACCATCAACCACAAATACCCGAGGTAATCATAGAAGCACCATCGTTGTGAATTTCCGTCTTGTTTGCGATTGCACCTGCACAAAAATAGACCACGAAAGCTTAAGACCTTAGTTTTGAAGGCCTGCCAAAAAAGGATGAGATTCATAGCTCTCGTTTCGGGCGGAAAAGATTCGATCTATTCGATCCTTCGAGCAATGAAAAATGGGCACGAACTMGTGGCTTGTCTCCATCTTGGAGCACCCGTTGTGGACAAAAGCAATGAGGAAGAGCTGGAAGAATCCTACATGTATCAAACGGCTGCGTCCGAAGTAGTGAAAGTAATGGTAGAAGAATGTCTCGGCGTGGAGCTCTTGCTGTATCCGAGGCAGGGAAAGAGCGTAAACACGGGATTGGTATACGACAACACAACGCCAAAAGACGAGGTAGAGGACCTATTCCTGGCCCTGGAGCAGGCTACGAAGCGGTTCGAGATCGATGCTGTCTGCTCGGGGGCGATTCTATCGACCTATCAACGGGTGCGCATCGAACATGTTTGCAATCGACTGGGCCTAACGTCGCTCTCCTACCTGTGGAGACTCGGTCCGCAAAGAGAATTGCTCCGGGAGATGCTGGAGGATGGCATCGAGGCCGTACTCGTCAAGGTGGCCTGTCCCCCGGGATTGCTTCCAAGAAAGCACCTGAACAAGAGCCTGAGGTTCTTATCGGACATCGGACTGCTGGAGCGATTGAATCAGCTGTATCAGTTCCATGTTTGTGGCGAGGGTGGCGAATACGAATCTCTGGTCATCGATTCTCCCCTGCACAAAAAGAAACTGGTGCTCGACGAAGTGGAAATCATGGAGAGCGATGCGGGRGATGGTGTTGGTGAACTKAAAATACTCTCCTGCCACGCCGAAGAAAAGGTAGAGGGAGATGTCCCATTGTTGGAACTGCCCGTATATGACAACCAGGAGCAACCGGAGCAGGAATATTCAAAGCTTAGCACGGCCGAACAAGACACASAGAAAACGCMTGTTGGAGGACAAGCAGTGCCCTCTGTGTCGTTTGTTCCTTACGTGTATCAAGGGACGGGGGGCTTGTTGCATTTCAGTGAAATCATGTCTCCAGTCACGGCAACTTCTTTTACATCCGGAAGCAAGTCCGAAGCTGAACTGGCAGTAGAAGAAGCATTGGAGATCTTTGCTATACTAAAAAGAGGCCTGGACTGTCACGGTGCCACCACCAAGGATGTCTTTTATGTCCATCTTTACCTGAGCGAAATATCCCACTTTGCGACAATCAACGCCCACTACCAGRCATTCTTTGGAAGTCTCTTGCCGCCGTCTCGGAGTTGTGTTGCCCTGGGACGTGGAGTCCTCCCCGGTGGAAGGCGGGTACTCTTGGACTGTAAGGTTCAGATAGGGAGTGGGGAGTACATGCGGCCATCCRCAGACGGAGCTGTAGTAGGTGAGGCAAATTGCTATGCTGTTGCAGCTCATCGGACGAAGACTTCGAAACTGAGGGAGGTTTTGCACGTGCAATCTATTTCCAACTGGGCGCCGGTCTGCGTAGGTCCATATAGCCAAGTCAACACACTACGGTCGGGAGTGCAATTTCTGGCCGGTCAGATCGGCCTCCGACCAGAAACAATGGAACTGCAACCAACATGGACTCTGCAATTGGAACAATGCTGGAAGAATGTGGCATCGGTCCTTGATGCATTGAATGGAGGCTCTCTCAACGACATATTTGGCTCGTTGGTTTACTTATCCGACAAGATTTATCCAGAAGAAARATCTCTGGAATTATTAGAAGCCATTTCGAGACACGAAATWCGAACCAACGGGTCAATTATTGCCGGGAGAATAGACTCGTTAACGGACGAAACTGAACTGTTTGGTGGATATGAAGATCAAGGCACGTGGGAAGAAATGAAGAGCCAAGAAGAAAAAGAAAAAGAAGAATCRATGTTCAATCCATGTCCCATTCTYGTTGTGTCCATTCCGGAAATGCCGAAGGGAGCAGTTGTGGAAGTCGAAGTGATCACCTCTACTGTGGAAGCAGCCAAGAGTCTAGATACGAGAGATGCTATTTTTTCAAWGGATTCAAACCGCAGAACATCTCTCRTGCACAACGCCCCTATAGGGTGGGAATCGGGTCACAATTTTCCGGTYCCATTGTCACGCAACAAGGAAGGCATGCGGATCGACTCSTACTCTCGTGTAATTGGGAAAGGGTGCGCTGCTGCTGTTCTTGTAACAGCGTCTTGTTCCAGTAACATGTCCGAACCCTACGAAATCCAACCCGAGGCTATGCTCGTCGACATGTTGTCTTCTGTCAAAAGTGTCCTATCGGAGGCAAGAGCCGGTATAAGTACTCGCAACATGGTCCATGTTCGACTTTTCTATGTTTCTTCCGAGAAATCTGAGGATGGACAGTGCATCGTACGTAACGATGGCGTCGAATTGCGTTCGGCCCTCAACGGTGCGGTAAATTCTACGAATAAGATGGAAAACAATCATGCAGCTACTTCAGTTATCCCAGTCAGAGCTATTGGTACGATTGGGGCTGTGCCAAAGCAARCGAGTAACGACAATAGGGTTACTCTGTTCGCCATGCAGGTACTTTTGCTAGATCCTGTCCATCTTGAAACTGAAATATGGATCCATAAGGATCGTTAAAACGCTATCACATTATTAACAAGAATAACTTCAATTCCGCTTCACACACTATGACGGCTGCTACTCGCAGCAAGTACCAGYGATACGATGGAAGGATCAATTGAATCTTTCTCCATGATCCTCGATACATGGAKTACAGAAAATCCACCCAACAACATTTGACAATACTTTGTGTAATTTACATGTCCTTGATACGCTCCGAKGGTTTTCCCGGGGAGATTTGGTTCGTTTTTGGTCGGAMTGTGCTTCGGAGACACATGACCTTCTAGCTCACAGGGATCATCAACATTCAGAGTCTTGTGAAGTATTAGCGAAGAAGAATTACAAGAAGATCTTGTGTCGTTTGATTCGTCCTTATCACCCACAGAACGAAAAGGATTCTTYACGTCGAATCCCGAGAAGTCAAACCATACAGAATTCTCTTCCTCCGATGACATAGTGTGCGCCAATTTTGGGGTTGAAAAACCTCCGTCGGTGAAGCTGCTACCTTCATCGTTACAATCATCGGCGAAGTAACGTCCAAAATAATTGTGTGGAATCTTGGTTGCATATTCGTGAGATTTTGTTGCGAAAATGTTGACCATACTGTCTGATAGTAGGGCTTCTTTTCTTGAGTACTCGGTAAGCTTGGGCTCTGTTGCTTCATATTCASTTATCGAGACYGGATTTCGTAAGTCCTTCCTAAATTGTTGAAAAGTAGAAGTCGTGCTCAATGTCGAGGAGCTCTTCATTGAAAGCTCTTGCTCTTCATCAATATCAAACCGAAAATTATCGTAAATTGTACGTTGATCGTAAATTTTAGAAATTTCAATAGCAGTGGATGCGCTGGTCTCGGAACCGCAAGTTCCTTCGGCAACAGGCCCATGATTTGCTCTTTCTTCACAGATCAATTGTGGTTGAATGAATTCATCTTCTACTTGATTAGGAATAAAACTATTTGGACGCATCCACTTCTTGCTGCATGAGTTGATAGGGGTACTGCTGGACTGATCGTAAAGTCTCATCTCAAATGCCGTTACTTGCACTAGAGAAAAAGTTTCGGCCGATAAAAAGCTTGGAATCATAGACAAAGGAAAACTGTAAGATGGTCGATACTCTATACAAAGGAATGAACTAGAGCATGGATRTGGCGGCTTCAATTTCTACATTAATGATTGGTTGTACTACATGGTTGCAATTTTAAATTACTCCGATTTTTTCATTACAATCGTGGCACACACAAAATACTCTGTTACTGTATCGACAGTATTTTTACGTGTAATGCTTATAGATTTGTCTCAAGGAAAACTTGAAAT